AATCCCCTGCGAAGCCCCTTTAAGGAGTTTAGATTGTAGTTCTCTATGATACCACCTCTATTTACTCGCTCCCACACCACTCCTTAAACATCGGCAACTTGGGCTACAGGATTGCCAGGTTTGCCCAAGCAGGTTCGCCTTGCTAATAGGCTATTCCTGCCATCACACAGGGCATAGATTTCGGCAATCGTCACTGAGGGAATCTCAAGGACTTTCAGCAGATTGATAAGGAAATCCAATTGAGTTTCAAAAACGCATGACTTAAGTAAAAAAAATGTCCTTGCATATCAAACTTACACCTGCTCACCCGAACCATGCGCCCCTTGAAGGAAGAAACAACCAAACCCAAAAGAATTATGGGGATATACAGGGGTTATATAAGGAATATCCAGGGATGATGATAGTAGTAGCAATAATAGAAGAACAGAAAATGGAAGATGCTATTCAGGGTTTTGGGCAGACTACTCGGCTAAAGTCGACAACACAATGGCGTTCTTGATTTCTCGCCCTGATCGAGGAAAACTAAACTTGACGTTGGAAACAAGCAGCGGGCTACTACTCACTTGAAGAAGGTGGCTCATGAACGTGATTACTCGCCAAAGGCAAACCCTGAGTCTTTGCGAGGCGAACCCGGCAACTTGAGTTTCTTTGCTAGACATGCCTCCATTGCTGGAAGCCTGCGAAAGACAAGCCGATCACAAAACCGTGCTATGAAGTGAGCCTGAGGGTGAAATCCCGAAGAGATGACCATTGAAATGCTCCGAAACCAACCCTTTCAATGGAGGGGCCTGAATAGATAGAATAGGGTTTGGGGTTTCGGGCCTAAGAGAACTAGAAAGTTAGGATCCGCGCTGCTTGTTCTTAGCCATCTGTCCTGGATGTTCATCTCCGTCAGCGTGACAGGGCCATCCTCCAAGCGAGCTTGGTCGCGAAAGTCTTTGGATTTTTATTAACATTTAGGGGGATCTCTACCACCACTTAGGGGGATCTGCACTGCTATTTGGATCCCCACTACAATTTAGGCTTGAGGTTGTGAGCTTGAGACTTGGGATTTGGGATTGGAAAGTTCAGGGCTTGACGGTCTTGCGGCATGGGGGCTTGACAGCTTTCTCCCGTCTTGGGGGTCTTTATATTGGTGATGGTGTGATGGCAGTGATGAGGTACCGGGTAATGGGGAGTCCATAAAATTCCTGGGAGGAAGGGGACAGGCCTACAGTATGTGGTCCCGAATAGTGAGACTTTTCAAAGAAAAGGAACTTCTGCACCCTAAACCCTAAACACATCACGTTGCACAGCCACCATCTTACCCAAAGAAGCCCTCTACACCCAACAGTCTAATCTCTCGAACCCGTGAATCCTAAACCCTGCCGAAGTCCTAAACCCTAAATCCT